TAAGTTTAGGTGTGGGGTAGGATTAAGGGATCTAAAATATGGTCATGCAGAATAAGGCATTAATATGTGCTTTATAAGTACTAATAAACAGTCTAATATGCTAGTAAAATGCATGCTAATAAGCAACTAGTTAATAGTGAGAATAGGTCCTTGTGTTACCAAAAGAGCAAACAGGTAACAACTGCACATTTCCACTTTTAAACAGTACATGATGTGCCATAGTTGTCATGCAGTTGCCATTCTAAAGGTATTTTTATATGCTTCTTGGTTTGCTTTAGTTTATCTTCATGATCTCTTGAAGCTGGTGTTTCAACCCTAAACTTCACATGCACATTCTATATTGAAAAAAAGGTTATATTTAAACCATGGTGGAAGGGTTGAACTGTATTTTTGATGTGAATGTTATGAACACTCAGTGTTAAGTGCTTCACAGCATGCAAAGGGTCCCTGGAGCAGCTCTGACATTTCTCTGATGCAACTTCACTCGCAATGTCAGATCTTTTACTGCTTCTCTATCTCTTTCCTCATCTTTTTAAAGACCATTCATAAGATGGCATTATTTGTGGACTAAATATTCCGTTCTTGCATTTCAGTCAAAATCAGCTTCAGTCTGCATTTTCAGTCACCTTGTGAAGGTCACATAATTCTGTCTCAGATGCCATTTGGGTGATTTTGAGTCCCTGGCCAGAGATGTCTTATTTGGTACCTTTGTTAGGCTTATTACCCTTTGTTAGGCTGAATCTCTTCTATTGCTTTGAGGATGCAGCAGTTGACCTTGTGAAGGTGCTTCCATGTTGTTGTGGCTCATTATGTGTTTCTGTTTGCGGTCTTTAATGAACTGACTAACATGTAGTTGCAGCATCTGAAACACAAATGGTAGTGAACCCTCTTTAAAAGGATTTTGGATTCTGGATCAGAGCCAGGAGCAGATGTGCAAAACCAAAAAGCCAAGATAGCACCTGCTACACACGATGTGTAAGAGCCTCACACCTTTTCCGGTACCGGACGATGTGTTGGTCCCATGAGATCCTATGAGTCAGACCGGCTAAAGGATGTCTGGGAAGAATCCATTAATATAGCATCATATGTTATTTATCATGCCAACAGTGGATGTCACTTCCTTTCAGTCCCTCGCTCTTTCTCTATCTCATTTCTTTTTTCAACTATTAAATAAACGCTCCCTGCCGCACTAAGGGCTTAATGTGATGGCAATTTCGCCCAATATCTATTCACATCAGCATTCACACACTGCCTGTGAATTAGATATGGGCCAGATTAGGATGTACAGACTTTGGAATAGAATGTTTGTCAAGGTTACTCTGGCAACCTAAGCATAATGTACTTCAGAATCTGTTACCAAAGCAACAACATACAGTACAATTTGACCCAGGTTATTAGTTTGAACTGACGTGTTTCATTTGATTGATCAAAATTACAGCTAAACAGTATTGTGAATTATTATTATTAGAATTTGTTTTAGAATTATTATTAGAATTAATTAGTTGTGCATTTTGATATATTTTAAAATGGAATTAATTCCTGTGATGACAAAGCTACATTTTCAAAATTTTCAAATGTTCAAGTATTATATCTTCATAACATTAATAATAAGAACAGTGCGTAACATTTTTGTGGAAACACTGGATTTTTTGATGAATAGAATGTTCAAAAGAACACCATTTATTTGAATTTTTTTTTCAAACAGTGTCAGTTTTGATTAATTTAATGCATCCTTGCTGAATAAAAGTATTAATTACTGATCCCCAAAAAATTTACATTATAGTGTTGATATCCAAAAGTGAACCAACCAACTTATCAATGGCTCTTTGAAATATTCATGTGTAGCTGCCCTTAGCTGAGCCCAGTATCAATCAAACTGCACCCAAAGCTGCCTTCAGCTAAAGCCTCTGTTAATATCTATGGTAATTACAGTAGCACAGAGCCCTGTTGTACAGCTAGGGATCGTCCTTGGTGAGCATCACCGCAAATTAGCTGCTTCACTCCCTCTGTCACCTCCTCGTAATTCTCCCTTAATTCACATGAAACGCTCTCAACAGAGGCTTTGTGTCTCTGAGTAGAATTAATCAAGGATTCCCCATTATAACTTTGGAAACTTTGGAAAAGCTTGGGTTTTGAGGTATTTTAGACAGCATTGGAGCCTAAAATGAGTAAAACAGACCAGACACTCGAGACACATTCAAGCATTGATGCCCTGACAGTATTTCAAAACAGTAAGAAATCAAAAACCTAAATCCTGTGGAAAATTTCTCATCTTTTGGCAGGCTGCTAGAAACAGCTCCACCGTTTCAATCCATGAACAATTGTGCCACTACATTATACAGCAACTTATCTACCTTGACACTGTCATTGTTTTACTAAATAAAAGCCCTGTTGTGCTCACAGGGGAAAAAAATCAATGGCTTGAAAGAATGAGCCCTCAGACAAACATTCACAGTGGGGGCCATTGGTACAAATGTATTTATTAAAAAGCATTAACATTATTTATATATATTTGAAGTGAGTAAATCAGGGCTCAACATTTTTTTAATCATCAAAATATATGCAGTACTTGTCAAAATTTTGGAAATATTATGATTTTTAAATGTTTTTAATTACGTCTCATCTCACTAAGGCATTTATGTGCTCAAAATAGAGTAAAACAGTACTATTGTGAAATAGTATTACAATATAAAATAGCTGTTTTCTATTGTAATTTTTTTCTGTAATGTAAAGCTGAATTTTCAACATCATTATACTCCAGTCTTCAGTGATCCTTCAGAAATCATTCTAAAATGCTGATTTGGTGCTCAAGAGACATTTCTTATTATTATTTCTGATCATTTCTTATTATCTAAATTAATGTTTTTATTCAGTAAAAATATGAATTAAATTGAACAGAAGTGACAATAAAAACATTACCATTACTTACTACATTACTAAACAAATTCGATTTCAAATAAATACTATTCTTTTGAACTTTATATTCATCACAGAATTCATCAAAAATGTTACCGAAAAATATTGGGCAGCAACAACTGTTTTAACATTGATAATAATAAGATCTATTATTAATAACTGAGCACCAGTAACAACTGAGTATCAAATCAGCATACTAGAATAAATTCTGAAGCATCATGTGACACTGAAGAATGGCGTAATAATGCTGAAAATTCAGCTTTGCTATCACAGGAATAAATTACATTTATTTCACATTGTAATAATAATTCACAATATTATATTTTTACTGTATTTTTGATCAAATAAATGCAGCCTCGGTGAACATAAGGGACTTACTGCATAAATACATAAAGAAAATGTGTGTGCCGTTCTAAAATCATAAAAATTTCTATTTATTTATGAGTTTAAAGTATTTGTTAAATCCCTATTGAATCTGGAGAAATCGCTCAAGCCCTTTGACTAGATTCTTGACAGTAGTGGCAGAAAGAGAAATTTAAAACCAAATGCTGCTCCAGTGAGCGCATATAAATCAGAGTGACAAGAGTTTTGTCACATTTTCATCTTTTTTCTTTACCCCAAGTAGCATTCTGGACGCATGAGCTGTACATGTATTTTTGGAGAGCAAATGAGGTACATTTATTCAAACCCTGGCAGTCTCCTACAATCCCATAAGACCAACAGAAGCAAGACGAGTGAGTGTGTATGTTCTGCTGTGGATTTATCTGTGTGTGTACATGTGGGCATTTATGTATTTGAACGGTATCCTTACAAAATTAACTTGATTGAATACACTCACAGTTGTAAATGTATGCACCTTTCACACAGCAGTGTATTGTACTCTGAAGACCCTGTTTGCCTGCGCTCCATCCTTCTTTCTAGGTCTAGTCACTTTCTTTCAGCAACAGACATGAAATCATTACTCACTTTTGGAGGTTTCGGTGAGGCTGCAGGCACAGTGGTTGCGTGCTTATCGATTCATCTCAGTTGTTTGTTGTTCCTTTGAAGGGTGAAGATGCCTTTTCACCATGTGAGAGCAGGGCTGCTCTACACAGACAACTACCTGAGCACCTCTCTCTCCGAAACTAGTGAAGAACAGCTTGCCAACATCTCCACAGAGGAGCTTGGCGGTGAGTGAGTATATGTGTGTGTGTGTGTGTGTGTCTTTTGTTTGGATGGCTGCTATTTGTCTCAGTGTAAATGTCTATAATTTTATAGAATATATGTTTTGATTTAAAGTATTGTTTGCCCCAGAAATTTAATTTAATTTAATTTAATTTAATTTAATTTAATTTAATTTAATTTAATTTAATTTAATTTAATTTAATTTAATTTAATTTAATTTAATTTAATTTAATTTAATTTAATTTAATTTAATTTAATTTAATTTAATTTAATTTAATTTAATTTAATTTAATTTAATTACTCTTCCTCATTTCTTTCCAAACCTGCTGTTATTTGTTTTTATTAAACACAATAAAACTTTTTTTTTTTAATTATTCATAGAAGTTCCATATAATGTTCATATTGACCACATTTGTCAAGCTTACAAAAAAAAACAAGTTTTGTGTAACACACACACACTGTTGGTTGTTTTGTAAAAATCAAATTCTATGCTGTCCTCAAATGAAGCATGAATTTTGGTTATGACACATGCAAGAACCAAATGCCATTTTGGAAACAGTTATGTCATATCTGGCACAAGGCATCTGGCACATTTTGAAATTGAATGTGAATGTAAATGAGATTTCATAGCTTCAGCAGAGGGGAAGATTTTTAACCTTTTTCTCACTCAAACATATGGTAGAAAACTTGGAATATAGTGTCCTTTTTGGAGTTTAATTGCCCCTGGCCACTATGAACTAATTGTTTTTTTTCAATAATTCTAAATTAATTCATTTGTATGAAGAAATTCCACAGACAAATATCTGCAAATTGATTTGGAACAATAAGAAGTTGACTACATGATAAAAATGTAGCATTTTTTTGGTAAAAACTTACTCTTCATCCTCACTTATAACTTCTTCATCCTCACTGTTTTTAACATGGTCATTCAGTTGAACTTAATAACAGCAACCAAAGGAACCTCAGGGTTTATTAACTTATGCCTTCAATGTGATAAACATTATAAACCCATTACAGTTACTGCCCCACTACAGTCCATTGCAACTGGAAATCTCACTTTCCTCATCTGGAATGTCTTGCCGGTCATGTGTTGAGGCAGTGCCTTAGGGCACACAAGAAGAAAATCGATGGTCTGACTGCTGGGTTAGAGGGTGTTGTGAATACAGTGGTTGATTTGAAGAGATGTCTGAACTGTGAAACTCTCGGATGGAATTAAAGTTTGCAGCACCTCCTTTGAAAATGATTGTTTTGACAGACCAGGAACCGAGGGCTGGTCACAGTGGGAGGTTCTATGGTTTGCATATTCATGAAATGAGGGATAAAAAGTGAGAGTAGCAGTTCAGACGAGGTCTGTCTTTGCAGAAAGAAAAATTCTTGAGGGAGATAAAGAGGACCTTGTTAAATAATGAGCCACTGACTGAATCAACTTATCAATTCAATTAACTCATATTGAATGAAATCTAGTTGCCTTGTTATAAGCCTTTGGACATTTGTCTAAATCTGGTAAAAAAAAAAGTCACATGTAAGGCATAAAAAGAAGCTAAAATATCATTAAGTCAAGACAAAGAGGCTTCTAGGAAACGGGGGCGTGTGGAGAGGATTGGGTTTTGCTAATGGCAGAGGAATTAACCCACATGTTCTAATGAGATTGACTTTTTGTTCTTTTATGCTTAAGGTTCCAGGGCCACCCAATGCTTTATTTTTTTTAATACCAAGAGTAAAATAGTAGTTTTTTAAAAATGAATTAACCTATGGTAGTTAATTCCTTTGCTTAAATCCGCTTTTTTTATTATGTACTTTCAGAAAGGTCCGTTATTTTGGGTGTGTTCACACTTTGGCAGGTTTGGTTCAATTAAAATGAACTCTGGTGTGATTGTTTAATTAGTGCGGTTCATTTGAATAAGTGTAAATGCTGCCATTTAAACCTTGGAGAGCACCAAACAAGTCAACTAAGACCCACTTTGTTTGGTTGGTTCCATTGCAAAATATGTGTCATAAAAGTAGTCAGATTAGGTTGTGAACTTATCCTTATGCCTTTTGTTTTGTATCTTTAGGCTCTGTGTTAAAAATGACCAGGTGAATGCTGGGAGAACCAGGACTAAATGTATCATTTTCTTTTTTTGAACTGAACCACAGGTTTGAACACACCCTTATTATAGTAATGTCTTTTTATTTATTTTAGTTTGACCCCAAAATTTTATTTTATTTTATTCTATTGTTAGTCACCAACTAAACATTTTTCACGGTGTCCATATGAAGTATATTATCAAATTTTGTTTACAATCAATTCTTGCAAGATTAAGAAAAGTCTTCAAGTATCTAAAGTATCAACCTGACACTTCAAGGTTAAGTATGTTATGAGCAATTAATACAAGGCCATTAAGGGCTTTCCGATGCCAACAGAACATGAGGGTTAAAGATACGTTATTTAAAGGAATGCAAAAAACTTTCAGGCTTTGTCAAAATGCAGGAAGCGCTCAGTTCAGCATATTACAAGGCAAAGGCTCCTCTACCTCTTTATCCCAAAATAACACCAAGGTGGGTCTTTAAGACGACAAAAAAGTGTAATACACCTCAGAAAAGATATGAGATACGCGTGTTATTTTGGTTGTTGCTGCTTGCGACTTGGTGTGGGTTGTTTAACCCGAGCTGAACTGAAAAACTGGGACTGATGCCCTTTGAAATGCTGGATAAACGTTCAGTCACAGTGCACTAAATACACGGCTTTGAAAACAGAACGAGCTGCATTTAGTATTTCTGCTGTTTGTGCGATAGTACACTCTGTTACTGCTGAGAAAAGCAAGCGTGATATAATACATACCGTCTAATGCTTATCAATGACATGCACATTCCACTTGAATTATGTATGTCAATTGAGTTATTTGTGTTTACAGACTGTTCTACATTTTTATTTTGTCGCGTTTCTCTGCAGAGATTCGAGAGGCGTTCCGAGTTCTAGATAGGGATGGGAACGGATTCATCTCGAAGCAGGAGCTGGGTATGGCCATGCGCTCTCTGGGGTACATGCCCAGTGAGGTGGAGCTGGCTATTATCATGCAGAGACTGGACATGGATGGTGAGTCAGTCTCTTTCTACATCTCTCTTATTCTCCGGTTCCACACAAACAAAAGAAGCGTCTGTCTTCTGATCATCTGTGAAACAGCTTTACAATCTGTCACAGACCCCTTCCAGTCCTTGCACTGGACAGATATATGATATTCTGAACAGTTCATGCTCAGAAGCGATCATAGAATTGAACAATTTATCCAGCACAGGGGGGCTGTAAATACACCAGTGAGCGAGGTGAATTCTGAGAAGCCTGCATCTTACTATGTGTGTGCATGCGTGTGCGTGCGTGCGTGCGTGTGTGCGTGTGTGTGTGTGTGTGTGTGTCCGACTTCAAGGGTCCTCAAGGTCAGGTCACTGTTGACTGAATGGTTTGAGAACATGCATTAATTTAGCTCATAAATTCCGCCTGGAAGTTTGTATTTTTTTATTTTTTGTAGGACAGTTACAAGTGTTGAATGTAACTCACATTGTGGGTGTAAGAGGATTTTTTACACCTCATAATATGAATTTTGTTTGTTTAAGATCAGTGTTACATCCATTCTAAGATGCAGCAAAATAAAATGTCATTTCAAAATATATTTTACCTCAAAAACTTCTGTACACTCTAAAAAATATAGGATCTTTATTGGCATCAATGGTTATGAAGAACCTTAAACATCCATGGAACCTTTCAAATGCAGAAAAGGTTCTTTATAGTCAAAAAAGATTCTTTAGATTTCTAAAATGTTCTTCAAAATGGTTCTTTTAGGAACTGTTCACTGAAAGTTTCTTTGGGAAACCAAAAATGGTTCTTCTATGGCATAACTGCAAAAACACCCTTTTGGAACCTTTATTTTTAAGAGTGTAAGCCTAGTTGGGCTACATCTCAAGTTTTTGACTCTTAATCATAAACCATATATAACCTCAGTACAGAATGCAGATATGAATGCACCTCTTTACTGTATTTCAGTAATGAATATTTAAGATTCAGCGGTAGAGTGGAGACGAGGTTTTGCAGCACAGTGGGAACATTAGCGTGATAACAGCTCTCTCTGACTTATCACTTTAAGTTCCACTGTCGCTCTCAGCTGGTGTTGCCTTTCATACAGCTCAGACAAGTAATTTTCTTTTTTTCAAGAACGAAAGATTGATAGCTGTTATGCATGCTCACCTTTGTTCACATGCCATAATATTTTCTAGTTTTTAAAAGAGTTCTGGTCAAATGTACGGTCAAGAGCATGCACCTTAGGAGATGATTATATTCAGTTTAACTTTAAATTATTAATGAAAAAAAGAAGGAATTAGCAGCTGCAAGTTGATCTAAATTTTAATTTGCCTGGCGCATGATATTGGCTTTATTGAATGAAACAGCACAGGAAACCAATGGCAAATGGAATGTGAAAAGAAAAATATCATTGTCAGTTTCAGATGTAATGGTTAGATCAAGTCAATTATGAATATATCAGATCTGTAGCCTATTACTTAGTTCAAAGACCCTGAACCGTTTCATTTAGCTGAACCGCACCAGTAAAAAACGGCACAACAAAGCAATCAGCAAAGCAGTGCAGATCCTATTAAATTATAATAGTTCCTGAGACTTAGGTAGATGTAGATTAGTGATCCCTGAAGGGCAATTAATAATTATATTCTGCTCTATTCTTTAACTGATTTTAAGAACTTTAACCAGCTGTTCTCATGAGGTTGAATGTAAATAGTTTCTAGCGACAAGCAATGGAAACTGCTGTGCAAAATAACAAATTTTCAACCAGTCAGAATATATTTAAAGGGTCCATATGATGTTGCTAAAAAGAACATTATTTTGTGTATTTGGTGTAATGAAATGTGTTTATGCGGTTTAAGGTTCAAAAAACACATTATTTTCCACATACTGTACATTATTGTTTCTCCTCTATGCCCCGCCTTTCTGAAACACGTCGATTTTTACAAAGCTCATCGGTCTGAAAAAGCGAGGTGTGCTCTGATTGGCCTCTTCACAACATGGCGGCGGTGGCAGCAACAATAAAGCTACGCCTTCTTTCTTTGCGTGGACATTTGGGCGGCGTTATGCAAATCTTCCCACATCGTGACGTAGACATGTGGAGGCGCGTTTAAACAAGGCATTTTAGGAGGGCGTGGACGAGTCTTAAATTTTTACAAAGCTCATCGGTCTGAAAAGGCGAGGTGTGCTGTAATTTGCCAGCTATCCAGTGCATTGTAATTGGCCAAATACCTCAAGCATGTGACGGAATTGTTACGCCCCTTACCATATTGTGATGCTGTGCTTCGGAGCGACGAGACAAAAACATTAAAACCCATTATAAACGAGGCATTTAGCTGTTTGTTTTCAAATGTGTTGATTTGAAAGATTAAAATAAAGGAATAATTCACCCAAAATGAAAATTTGCTGAACATTTACTCACCCTCAGGCCATCCAAGTTGTATATGAGTTTGTTTCTTCATCAGAACAGATTTGGAGAAATTTAGCATTACATCACTTTCTCACCAGTGGATGCTTAGCAGTGAATGGGTGCCGTCAGAATGAGAGTCCAAACAGCTGATAAAAACATCACAATAATCCACAAGTAATGTAAAAATGTGCTTTTTGGGTGAACTAATCTTTTAATTGTTAGATGACAGTGAAAGTAATCCAAATGTAAAAATAAGAAAACATCCTATATACGAAGAAGATATTTATTCAATATGGACAAATTCGATAAAAAATCTCTCATTCAAACTGATGACCAACATGGTACTAATATACACTATCATACCCAAGATCCCTAATTTGTTTTACCTAAACTAATTAAAGCTCTTTTTTTGTAAAATTCTCTCTGATTCTAAAACAAATGCTCTCTTCCTGATGCAGGTGATGGACAGGTGGACTTTGATGAATTTATGACAATATTGGGACCTAAACTTGTTTCTTCTGAAACCAGAGAGGGCTTCTTAGGAAGTACAATAGACAGCATATTCTGGCAGGTATGAAAAGCATCCATCTATTTTCTATATCTCAATGTTCTCTTGACTTTCTCATTGATTGGGTGTGCATTTGTATTCTGAGCATGCGGATAAGATTACGGGTCACACTTTGCCCTCTCCACCTGCTTCCTCCGTCCCATGACGACTGGTGAATGTGAATCTTCTCAGACTGTGGGCTTCAAAGTGAGCAGGCAGATCTTACCATTTCAAAGTGATCATTCATTCATATAGTGAGGAAATCCCAGTTTCACTTCCAAGAGATTTCTTTGAGTGTCGGGGAAGGCATATTAATTGAACGATTTGCCACTTAAAATGAGAAGTATAGATCTGAATTAGTCATCACAGGCATTTGGCCAGCGTTTTCACTCTCTCTTTCTTGTTCGGTCTTCATCTCTGCTTTTATTAAATAATCATTTAGACCGAAAAAATAGCTGACTTCCTGTCTTGATTGAGCAGTGTCTGAGTTTATGTTTGCATGTCTATGCGTAGCGTCTTTCCCTCACAGTGGAAGCCGAGCGATGTGTGTAGGAGTGAGGAACAGCAAGGTCACAGACACTGGTTGTCTCTAAGGTGATTTAAATGCTCATCTCAACACACCTTTTGTGGGACACAGTGACTCATAACTGCAACAGTAATCCATGTAGCATCATCACACCAGCATACCAAACACCCTCTCCCTCTCTGATGTTATTATGAGGCCAATACAAGTCTAATAATGGCACAATGACAAAACCTCCTAGGAAATATTGTTTTGACAGAGCAACTGTTATTGGGATCATTTCAGTTTTCTACTAGAGATCCTACACTTACACAGTTCAGTTTTTGAATATGTGGTTTAGGGCTATTGTTCAAAAGCTTGAGGTCAGTAAGATTTGTGACCCTGGACCACAAAACCAGTCATAACTAGCACAGGTATATTTGTAGCAATAGCCAACAATACAGTGAATGGGTCAAAATTATCAGTTTTCTTTTATGCCAAAAATCTGTAACATGAAAGACTGAGCATGTATTAGAGGGGGGCGTTTAAAAATGTTCTTAACAAGATTGTCAATGGGGATGTCAGAGTGGAGCCAAGAGCTACAGGCAATCATGGATTATTAGGAACACAAGGCATAAACAAGCTTGTTTTCCCCACCTCGAGGAACACAAACCTGGGGAGTGTGTGTAGTGTTGTTGCCAACAGCTCTGTTTTGACAGTAGAAATGATTTGAGACAAAAACAGTCAGCATTAACCAGTATCACTAACAGCACATTCTAGCCATATGTGATGTATAATTCACATGTATATTTCTCTGTTTTTTTACTATTGTTTCAAAACATCTCTACTGCAGCAGCACCAGAGATGGTGATGCATTAAATGATGTCGCTGATACATTAAATTATGTAGTCTACCTTTGTTGTATTGCATTACAAGCACATTTCTGATGTATTCTATGATTCTAGAAAAAATAAATAAATACATTTAGGAAAAAAAAAACTTAAATTCACAGGAAAGACATTTTTAATGTTACAAAAGATTTCTCACAGTTTCCACAAAAATACTAAACAGCACAACTGTTTTCAACATTGATATTAATAAGAAATTTTCTGGAGAACCAAATCAGCATATTAGAATGATTTCTGAAGGATCATGTGACACTGAAGACTGAAGTTATGGCTGCTGAAAATTCAGCATTGCCATCACAGGAATAAATTACATTTAAGATATATTAAAAGTTGTACTGCTTAATATCTTTGTAGAAACATGAGGATTCAGGATTCTTTGATTAATTGTAATAATTTAAACTAACATACTCAAAATCGTAATCTCATCTTAAAATCTTATCTTTAAAATGTTTCATTATAAACATTGATTTAAAAAATACAAAATTAAATAAAAATGGATTAAAAATCTAATACTACAAATATAAATTAATAATGATTTCTACTAGTTGTAATAATAATAATACCATTATTAATAAAAACTTAATAATTTAAATAGACTACAATGAAATATTTAAGTTAATGAATGATTTATTCTTAATTTATATCAATTTACAATACAGTACACCAATCCTGTTACCTTTTGATTTTTTTCCAAGGGTTTTTTTTTTTCAAGGTCAAGTGCATTTTTGCAGGCATTATCTGTAAGGTTCCTGTCAAAAGCTGTTTGCGTCATAAAACCATTCTTATAAATATTAATGCACCATGTCTTTGACATTGAGGTCTGGTAGACTGATGGCCTCTATGTTAAGAGTCACACACAGTGCACTGGAACCAGATCAAGCCCAAAAAGCTGTTGATTTTTAAATCTGTGCTGTAGATGTGAAGTCATAAACCAGTGAGAAGAAAGTTAGCTCTTATCTGTCAGCACAAAGAAGTTGTGTGTGTCCTCATAAGGATGTCATCTCAGTTTGGATTTGCATGCTGACTAGGACATTTTTCATCCCAAGAACCTCGAGGCCCTTTGTGTAACATGAAAGACTGAGCATGTATTAGAGGGGGGCGTTTAAAAATGTTCTTAACAAGATTGTCAATGGGGATGTCAGAGTGGAGCCAAGAGCTACAGGCAATCATGGATTATTAGGAACACAAGGCATAAACAAGCTTGTTTTCCCCACCTCGAGGAACACAAACCTGGGGAGTGTGTGTAGTGTTGTTGCCAACAGCTCTGTTTTGACAGTAGAAATGATTTGAGACAAAAACAGTCAGCATTAACCAGTATCACTAACAGCACATTCTAGCCATATGTGATGTATAATTCACATGTATATTTCTCTGTTTTTTTACTATTGTTTCAAAACATCTCTACTGCAGCAGCACCAGAGATGGTGATGCATTAAATGATGTCGCTGATACATTAAATTATGTAGTCTACCTTTGTTGTATTGCATTACAAGCACATTTCTGATGTATTCTATGATTCTAGAAAAAATAAATAAATACATTTAGGAAAAAAAAAACTTAAATTCACAGGAAAGACATTTTTAATGTTACAAAAGATTTCTCACAGTTTCCACAAAAATACTAAACAGCACAACTGTTTTCAACATTGATATTAATAAGAAATTTTCTGGAGAACCAAATCAGCATATTAGAATGATTTCTGAAGGATCATGTGACACTGAAGACTGAAGTTATGGCTGCTGAAAATTCAGCATTGCCATCACAGGAATAAATTACATTTAAGATATATTAAAAGTTGTACTGCTTAATATCTTTGTAGAAACATGAGGATTCAGGATTCTTTGATTAATTGTAATAATTTAAACTAACATATTTTATAATTTTGTAACATTATAAATGTTTTTACTGTCACTTTTGATCCGTTGGCTTCCTTGTTTAATAAAAATATTAATTTCTTTTTTTTTTTTTTTATCGTACTGACCCAAAATGTTTGTACACTAGTGTAAATATATAAATATTTGGCAAATAAATTGTCACATTCATTTGTGCTTAGTAATTAAGCAGAAAGCTTTATGCAAGCTTTGCACAAATCACATTTCAAGAGACCAAATTCACATTTATGTACAGAAATTTTACAATATTATAAAATTTATAAAATTATTTTATATTCCATTTCTGACGTCTCAGTTAATGTCAATAAATACCTGATAAAAAAAAATCTGAGCAGAGAGGAAAAAATATCTGAGCAAATGTAAAACAGACTTGATATTTTGGGCCCTATCATACACCCGACGCAATGCTAGCAAACTAGCAACATTTTTTGCTAGTTTCAGCCCGACGCAGTTGTCATTTTCACGTCCTGCGCCACGTTGTTTAAATAGCAAATGCATTCGCGCCCATTTGTGCGCTCATGGGCGTGCTGGTCTGAAAACGAGGTGTGTTCAGGTGCATTGCTGGCACGTTGCTATTTTGAGGCAACTGAAATAGACTG